AGAGAGAGAGAGAGGAGAGAGAGAGAGAGAGAGAGAGCAAGAGAGAGAGAGAAAGGGATGCATATTATATTATGTAAACGAGAAAATTGTCAGATAGAGGAGTGGCACAGAGAGAGGAGAGGGGAGGGGAGGTGGAGGAATGAGAGATAAAATGTTATGATTTCTCGTTGTCTTGCGCAATATGACTACGGGATGTCAGGTGTTGCTGAAATGCCTGTGTGCAGGTTAAAGGGTATACATGTGAGCTGAGCGTATGCAGACAGGGTGAATAAACTTTACGATTACAGATTATCGTTTTTTCTAAGCAAGAACATTGAAACAAGCTGCAAAGAAACAGGGACAGGATGCAGTGTGGTCATGTTGTAAGTGATGCACTTTGCAAACGGACGTTTCCACATTCAGACAACAACTAGGGGGGAAAGAAAGCAATGATGAAGAAACCAGGTCCAAGGAAAAAGGCCAAACTGTGTCTCCTTTTTTAAAGTTTAGTTTAGTTTTGTTGTTTATTTTTCATACTTATGTATTCATTTTTCTTTATATTATTCCATTGACATTGTTTAAAAGCATTATATTTTTTATGTTTTTATTCATTCATTCATTCATTCATTCATTCACATTCATTCACATCCATTCATGTATTCATTCATTCGCCCATTCATTCGTTCATTCATTCACTGATTTATTTTATTCATTTTATTTATTTAAAGAATTATTTTACTTTATTTTCCCCATGAGTGCTACGCTCTGCTGGGAAAAGGGCAGGTTATTTCGAAGGGCACCGAAAACGAAAACAAGTTCCCCGTCCACACTTCTGGTGGAGTGTGAACCAAAATAAGACAGGACGTGTCCCTTGCATTATGTGCTCTTCAAATCACAAACACAACAGCTACATTCACTGACGGCCAGATTGGCAACAAACAAAAAAAAAGACTAAAGTAAGAGTAAACAGCTCAATTTGCAAACAACCATGTCTTGGCAGGCAATTACGAATTTTGAGTGCGCAAAATATTATGTTTATGTGTGTCTGAGTGAATGTGTGTGGGAGTGCGTGTGTGTGTGTGTGTGTGTGTGTGTGTTTGTTTGTTTGTTTGTTTGTTTGTTTGTTTGTTTGTTTGTTTGTTTGTTAAAAAGGGGGTGGGTTGAAAGGCTATCTGTGAGAATGAACGTGGGGGTGTATGGGGGCGGGGTAATGTGTGTATAGCTGTGTGTATGCGTGAAAATATGTTTGTGTAAATCTATGAGTTTGTGTGTGTATGTGTACGCGGCCTTCAGAGCGCTTTCTCGTCGTAATTTCAATAATTCTTTACCGGATCGGCCCTATCTCGCAACGGATTTTCCTAAAATTTAATATACAGCCACATGATTTTCACTCCTCAACGCGTACATTGGACTTTCTCTAAACTCTTTTAAATCCTTGGAACAAACAATATTTACTATAAAAAAGAACGTTCATTCATAACCTCGTGAGACTCAAAATATATATTCTCATTAAAAACATTTCTTTAAAAAATCTCTAGTCTTTTCAATAGAAAAGATTATAAACTGCTGATTCCTTTTCTCTTCCACACAACCATCATGGTCTATCGCCCAAGCATGTATCTCTCCTGGCTCGGATCTCTCCTCATGTATCCGGGTTAACCCCATGCACTCGATATTTTTTAATGAACCTCCCCCTCTTCATCCTCCTATGTATCTGCCTCCCCCCTCTCTCTCTTACTTTCTCTCTCTCTCT